TTGTCTAAAGCATCTACATGTAAAATCAGCTGCTTTGTATCTTCCTCGGCAGCTCTGCCGTCAAGGTCCATGATTTACAAGCATATAGAAGGATAGAGATGACGAGGGCATTGAGTAGTCTGATTTTGGAATTGATGAGCTGTTTCTGGCTTTCCACATTGGTCTTAGTTTGTAGGCGCCCCTGTTGTTTGTGCAATTCTTGCATGGACTTCTGGTTTGGATCCTTCTTGGCTGATGATAGCACCAAAGTACTTGAACTGGCTGACTGTTTCAAGCTGTTGACCATTGACTGTGATTTTGGTTTTCACCGGTTCGTCACTATTTCTCATCATGTACGAACAGGTGTAGCGGTTAACCTAGTCGGTTTCGATTCTTGTGTGGAAAAATGAGGGGGAGGGGAGGCTTTTTAAAATTGAATACTTTTATCTCGATCTTTCTAATTGGACGCTGTATCCTCCACAGTTAGGCCTGGCCCTTAAAATGATCTAAATTATGCTGATTGGGAGGGGACAACACTTGTATTGAAGAACTGCCATGCAATTTCTTGTTCGTTTCGTGTTTTTGTTGTTGTGGTTGTGTTGTTGTTGTTGTTGTTGTTGTTGTTGTTGTTGTTGTTGTTGTTGGTGGTGGTGGTGGTGGTGGATGTCTTTAGTTTGTGAAGTGTGCTGACAAAATGAGTTACTTCTTGATTAAAGGTGAAGTTTTTTTTTACAATTTCTGAGTATGTATATGTGTAGTATAAGGTTTTACGGCGCTCGCAACTGCTAAGGTAATATGAGCGCGTTTCTGAGTATGGAATAATGTATACTTAAAGAATGTTATACTTACAAAATAGGCCATCAATAGAAAATCTACAAATTTGACAATGGTGTCGATTTTTTACCGATATCTCCATTTGTGGATTTTGAGAAGTAACTTATTTTGTCAGCCAGCCTCACATATTTTGTTTATTTGTTTGTTTTAGTTTATATACAATGTCACTATGTTTTCTTTTATACATATCACTCATGTCCCACTTTTTACAACAGTGTTTCCGTCTCCCTTCCGTTACTGGGACCATGCTTCTTCTGTTCTTTTTCTAAATGTTCAACGTTTCCCTTAACCGCTTCTAAATGAGCTCTCTTTCCTTCCTTCTTTTTTTAAAGAGTTTATCAATATTGTACTTCAGTGTATCTTCCACTATATTAGAAACTCTTATTTCTTTATGATTCATGATTCTTTAGTCCCAATCTCTCTCTCTCTCTTTCTCTCTCTC